CTACTAAGTTAAGACTACTACGCTACAACCACCAACCTATATATTACTATACTATATATATATATATATATATATATATATATATATATATATGTATACTGCTAAAAAGTAGTTTCTGACATTTGGCAAGCCACATCCAGGAATTATACAGTGGTAAACTGCATGTAACACAAAATATGTACGACAGCAGAAATAAGTAGTCCTATATATATATATACACACACAAAAACTGTAGTAGTAGTAGTGCAAATTGTTTGGAGATTACAATCACATTATATAGCCATGTCAAATTTTGATAAATGGATGGAAAGAGAAGAGTAAACCTCCTGGGTTTAAAGACAGTGAATTATGAGAATTTGTTAAACAACAAGAAGAACTAGAGAGAGAAGAGTGGCAACAAAAGAGAGAAGAAGAAAGACTGCTAGGAGAAAAGGAGAGAGAGGAAAATGAGAGAAAGGAAAAACTGGAACTAGCGAGAGAGAGCGAATAATAGCACAAACTCAGAAACAAGAAAAGAAAAAAAAAGAGAAGAGAGAGTAGAATAAATAAATATATATAAATAAATAAATATATATAAATAAATAAATATATATAAATAAATAAATATATATAAATAAATAAATATTTATAAATATTTAATTTATAAATTAAAATTGCAAAGCTCAACCAACCGAAAGAAGAAGGACCCAAGAATAACAATGGACTCAGGGCCAATTGACCCAAGCTGCCCAAATTCGATGAATATAAAGATGACATGGATGCTTTTCTGTAGAGATATGAAAAATTTGCCCAAAGTGAGAACTGGGACAAAGGCGACTAAACAGTCTGCCTCAGCCCACTTCTCACTGGAAAAGGCCCACAAGTATATGCAGGTATGACATCAGAAGATGCCATGGACTATGACAAATTAAAAGTGGCTTTACTGAAACAATATGAACTTACTGAAGAAGGTGTTCATCTGAAGTTCAGAGGAGTCAAACCTGAAACTGGATAAACTGTATTTTAGTTTGTAGTATGTCTACAGCAATACCTCATGAGATAGACTGACATGGCCAAATGTGACAACAGTTTTGAGGGACTGGCAAATCTATTTGTACATGAACAGTTCATGATCACGTGTTTAACTGACATTTCACTGTTTAAAAATGGAGAGAGCACCAAAAGATGTGGAGGAGATGATCAAGCTGGCAAAACAGTATGTGGAAGCCTATGGAGGGGTATAACTGGCAAGTCCAGAAGTATATAGTTAAATTCGAAACCAGTGATAGCTGACCAGACATCAATTTGCTAGACAAAAGGGACAAGAGATGCTATGTTTGTTATAAACTGGGACATATTGCAAAGGAGTGCAAGTCCATTACCAACAAGCAACAGTAGAAATCTCAATGTTAAGGTAGTGCTGGTAAGAAACAAGAAAAGAGTGACTGGCATCATTGATGCTACTGCCAGAAGAAACAGAATCAAGAAAACGTGTCAGATTCACCACAAGATGGAAGTGCAAATTCCATAATTGATCAGTCCATGACTAATGGTCAACTCAAGTTACCAAATGGATCAACAGTTCCTATAGTGCTTGGAGTATGTGACAAACATCAAGAGGTGATACCAAATCACAACATTCCAGTAAGTGTAGGATATGTTGGGGACAAGAAAATGAAGATTCTACGAGCCTTGTGTGCAGTAGTGCAGCAGTGAAAACCAGTCTAGTATCTGATGACTGGATGAAGGGCAAAATACATCTGTGTGATGGGATAGGGAGGAATTTTCCCATAATAAAACTATAGGTAAATACTTCATATTATATAGGAGACCTTGAGGCCATGTGTATAAAGGCACCAATATACGACTTGGTGATTGGAAACATACCAGATAGTAGAAATTTGGAGGAACTAGACAGAAAGAAGATTGATGAAGCATCTGCAGTTACCACCAGAGCTCAAGAAAAGGAGAGCAAACAAGACATCAAGCCCCTGCAAGTGTCAAAGGCAACATCCCAAAGGTGGGTATGCAGGAACTGAAGGAAGCACACAAGAAAAAACCTTCACTACAGAAACTTTGGGACAATGCTCGGAATAAAGTCAAGCACAAAACAAAGGAGAAAGAAACTTACAGAACAGAGGACTGGAAGGGAGTGCTATACCAGATTTATAAAGGCAGTTATACTGGGGAAGTTAAACAGATCATAGTACCAACAGAATACCAGACTCAAGTGATGAAGTTGGCTCATGAATCAATTGTGGGAGGACACCTAGGAACAAAAAAAGATGACAGACAGAATCACCAGTAACTTTCATTGGCTGGGAGTCATTGGAGATGTGAGTAGATTCTGCAGATCATGACATCTGCCAATGGAAAATACTTGGAGAGAAGGTAGCCAAGATGCTATTAGGAGAGATGCCTTTCATAGAAGCGCTGTTCAGCAGAGAAGCTGTAGACTTGATTGGACCACTAGCAGCTGTTTCTGATAGGGGCAACCAGTATGTGCTGTCAGTAGTTAAATATGCAATACCTTATACAGAAGCAGTAGCACTGGCAAAGATAAAGACAGAGAGAGTAGCAGAAGCTCTCCTGGAGATATTTTGCAGAGTAGGCTTTCTGAGAGAAATCCTGAGTGACAGAGGGACCCAGTTTACTTCAGAACTGATGCAGGAAGTGTGTAGACTAATCAGTACTTGGCAGCTCTTTACCACCCTGTACAATCCTAGATGTAATGGACTTTGTGAGAGTCAGTGGAGTTCATCTACAATTCTAGATGTAATGGACTTTGTGAGAGAGTCAATGGAGTCCCCGTACAATCCCAGATGTAATGGACTTTATGAGAGAGTCAGTGGAGTCTTAAAGAGCATGCTAAAGAAGATGTGCCAAGAGAGCCCTATCATATGCATTATGCAATGAGAGATCTGATAAAGCAGGAAGTTGAGAAATTGTTGGAAGTGGGAATTATCGATCCTTCAGATTCAGCTTACTGTTCACCAGCTGTAATTGTGAAGAAGAGGGATGGATTAAATCGCTTCTGCATAGACTTCCAGGAGCTGAATCTCGTATCGAAGCTCGACTCCGAACCTATTGGCAACCCAGAGGCTATTATGGCAAAACTAGATAATGCCAGGTTCTTTTTGAAGATTGACCTCAGTAAAGGTTATTGGCAGATCTCGATGGAGACAGGATCTAAAGAGAAGACTGCATTTGTGACACCAAATAGATGTTACCAATTTAACCATGATGATGAGGATGTTGTGCAACACCACCAACATCGAGCACAATGTGGATGACATTCTGGCACACACTGCAAGATGGGAAGACCACCTGAAAAACTTAGAAAGCTGTTCTGGCAAGTGAGGGCAGCAGATCTCACTATCAGACCATCCAAGTGTTAATTTGGATATTCTGTGCTGGAGTTTGTTGAACAAAAGGTTGGGGATCGATAGATAGCCATGAAAAAGGAGAAAGTAATCTGCATACAAGATACACTAGCTCCAATGACTAAGCTGGAAGTCAGATACTTCCTGGTGTTAGCAGTATACTAGAGGAAATTCATCCCAAACTATGCTGAAGCTACTGCACCATTGGCTGATCTGACCAAGAAATGCTTGACAAACATGGTGAAGTGAGAACAACCACACTAGGTGGCATTCCAGACATTAAAGAACATGTTTGGAAGTTCACCAACAAATCATTCATTGTTAAGGCTGATGCTTCAGACATTGGAATTGGGGCAGTACTCTTACAAAAACATTAAGACGGACTGATTACAGTGATATATAGCTATTAAGTAGTGAGGAGAAGTACTCTGATTGAACAAGAGTTTGTGGCCATCATATTTGCTATTCAGAAGTTCCACAACTATCTGTATGGGAAGGAGTTCATCATCCAGACAGACCACCAACCACTTGCATACATTTAGAGGTGCAAAGTCGACAGTGTGAGGATCATGAGGTGGTTGTTGTACCTTCATAACTACAGGTTCTGCATTGAAGCCATCAAGGGGACTGCAAATGTTAATGCAGAGTGTAGGAGTAGATTTTGTTGGTGAGATGAAAACAGTCTTTGTATATAGTGAAATAAAAGTATTGTAAATATTTATCTTGGAGAGGGCTTGTTGTCAAATATAAAAGACTGTTTAGTGTTGGTAGTATTATTAATTAATTTATTTTGTATTTGTAATTCATTGATGTTGAGGCTATTGAATGCTGTGCTTGCAATCCATTCATGTCAAGGCTATGGAGATTCCTAGAAGGCCTTAGTGATAGACATGTATATATAGTTGTGAGTAGACAAGCAGAAAGAGGGTAAAAGTAAAGTCATGTGAAAGAGAAGTTCAGTCAGAGAAAAGTTTGGAAATGTAAAGTTAACCGTCGTGGGAGTTAATAGCCTAGCAGTTTATGTGTTAAGAGTTAGATTAACAGTTTGAAAGAGATAAGGAGAATTACTTATCTCATCAATAGGTGTTCTAAATCCAGAATTTACTTCATTTGTTGGGGAGGTTGACACAGAATAGAAACCTAAGAAATTCATGTAAGGTAAAAAAAAAAAAATGAAATAAATCGGAACACAAGAAATATTATAACACAAACACTTTCAGCAGGTATATCATCTTAAACACTCGTATTATTGGTTGTTGTTTTTTTTTTTGTGAGAAACACAAATACAGGCATTAAATAAGTACTAGTAGAAAATTTAGTGTACTTGAAGTATCAAGTTCTTGGTTAAAAATCTCATAAATCAGTAAAACATGTAAAGTGAAGAGAACTATTCTGTATGGAATTCTTCTGGTGGTTTTTTTTTTCTAAATAAAGCTGAGATTTTCTGATTATTTACCATAACTTTGTTTTTAGAGTAATGTTGTAGAACTTAAAAGAATTGGAAAATTCAACTTTATAGTTATTTTTGTTATTATTGTTCCTGTAAACTTCAAATGAATATTGATGTGAATTATATGGGGAAATCATTGCTCTAAAGACAAACAGATGTGTAGTTTATTTAAGAATTGACTGTTTAAAATTTAATTTATTCTAGTTTTTTATACTTTTTAATATAATTTTGAAGTCATCAGTATGATTACTTCTAAAACAATTTGTTAAATCCATTGGTTTATTATTTTACAATTAAATTGTAGGTATTACTTACTTGTTTTTTAATTATTTTTTTTTAAGTAGCTTAAATTACTAAGTTTGACTCCTAGCAAATTTGGCTTGTAAGATAATAAATATGCAAAGTAAATGTTTGCCTTGTAATTCATAATAGTAGCTTAAATAAATTGTTTTCACAAACACTATAGTATTATATTTGTTTTATTCAGTGCATAATTGTTGTTGTTGTTTTTTGAAGCCAAGACTTCGCTGTTTGCTTTATGTTTTGGAACAACAAACAAAACCAAATAAAGATTTTGTAATGAGAATCTTGCCTGAGGTAAGATATGTTTTTGTTTTTATCCTTTTACGTGATTGTAGTTTTATTTCCTATTGTCTTTGTAGTTTAGTAAATATCTATCTAGTTATTCAATCCTTAGATTTTTTGAAGAAATTAATGTGTGTGTGTATATATATATATATATTAATACATTTCAGCCAGTTTATATGTTTAAGAGCTTAGAAACATACCTATTTCTTCATTGTTGTAGCTAGTCTGTACCCCATTGTAATTCAGGTAATCTGTTTACAGTGTTTAAACAGTGCAAAGGTTGTGTTACTGTAATAGATCTTGGTATACCTTTTGTTTATAAACACATCCTTGCACTTATTGGTTATCTAACTTTGCAACTTTATTTAGCACTTGTGTTTTGTTCAACTTACAGTGTAATAGTTGAGATCGGCAGTTTTGAGCTGTATCAGCTCCCATCAGTCCAATTAGATCAATGATATGTTTTTAGATGTTTTGCCTCATTTTTATGGGGGGGGGGGGAATTTGTTGGGGGCAGCATATGTATCAATGTCAAAATGCTAATGGTCTGCACTCGAAATGAGTTTACAATATTTTCATATTAACTGAGCATTTTTGAAAGGTCCACCTTTCGAAAGCACTCAGGTTATAGGTTTTTTATCATTTTGTATCAAGACTTATTGAACCTATGTGTTTTTCTGACATTCATATTAACTGATAGGAGTAAAATTTATATTTCTACTTCACTGGATTTCCCAAATGTAAAAACAGATGTTTGCATAATGTTATTAGACTTGTGTTTTAATTTTTTGATACATTTTATTTCTGAAAAATAAAATTGAATATTTTTAAAGCTTGGGCAGACAAAATCCTTGGGATTATTTTAAACACACTTACTGCTGAAGTTGAACTTTTGTTTCTGGTACAGGTCAGGCAATAACTGTGCTTATTTCAGTCATGACTGCTATAGTATAGTTTTTGTTTCTGGTATCAGTCAGGCAATAACTATGCTTATTTCAGTCATGACTGCTATAGTATAGTTTTTGTTTCTGGTATCAGTCAGGCAATAACTATGCTTATTTCAGTCATGACTGCTATAGTATAGTTTTTGTTTCTGGTATCAGTCAGGCAATAACTGTGCTTATTTCAGTCATGACTGCTATAGTATAGTTTTTGTTTCTGGTATTAGTCAGGCAATAACTGTGCTTATTTTAGTCATGACTGCTATAGTATAGTTTTTGTTTCTGTTACAGTTCAGACAATAGCTGTGCTTATTTCAGTCATGACTGGTGGAGTTGGTTTTTCTTTCTGGTACAGGTTAGTTAATAGCTGTGCTTATTGTAGTCATGATTGGTGGAGTGCAGTTTTTGTTTATGGTAAAGGTCAGACAATAGTTGTGCTTATTCCAGTCACTACTGTTGGAGTTGGGTTTTCTTTCTGATATAGGTTGGACAGTAGTTGTGCTTATTCCATTCATGACTGCTGGAGTTGGTTTGTCTTTCTGGTACAAGTTGGGTAATAGCTGTGCTTATTCCAGTCATGACTGCTGTAGTTGAGCTTCAGTTTTTGATACAGGTTAGAAAATATCTATACTTGTATAGATGTTCTCATGAATGTTAAATGTTTTGGATAACAGTATTACTTACTGTTACCTCAATGAAAATAAAATAACTTAGAAAATGCTTTGTTACAGTCACTTCACAATTGTGAAATACTTCTGGATTATTCTTATAAGATGATTAAGGTACTTTCTTCTGCTCCACATTGTAGGCTATTCTCTGTGTCAAGACAAATGCAGAAAAAGCAAGAACAGCAGCCTATAACTTGATAGTGGAAATTGGCAAGGCATTTCTTCGATGGGATAGAGAAAAACCAAAAGGTTTAACTTTCTTATTTCTCAATTAGAATGTTTTTTTCATTTCTTTGGAAGTTGTATAGTTAATCATAGATGAACTGCACACCACTCATAGAGATAGTGAGAGTGGTGCATGTATTAAATTTCAAGTGATAATAAGAAGAATGTAAGTTGAGAAGCTATTTTCTACTTTTCACTACTATAGTGTACAAGATTAGATTTTATGCAGGTCTGAGTAAACTTTAAGATTATTTTAATTGTGTTAATATAGATTCTTTTGTTAAGAGATATTTAATATTGTATAGTAATATATGTAAAAATTTTCTGTTTTCTCTGTTGATTGTCATTAGTCTTAGCATATAGTCTCAGTTATCAAGCAGAATTTTTCTGTTTGTTGTGACATTGAACAAAGTGGCTTTTCCAACATATCTTCAACATTGTTTTAAAGTAATTGTTGAAGAAGTCTGAATTTAAAAATTATTTCTTAATCTGCTCAATCATTATGGTTCTCACTTAAACCAAAATCATTATTAGTAGGGAACTTAAGAAAATGTGTGCTTCACAATAGTCTTTGAAAAAATGAAGCTAAGGAATGCACATTGATGAATGTGTTTAACCCCTTTTTAATTATCTATTTTTCATAGATGTAGGTGAACCATTGAGCTTTTTCATGAGATGATATATGAAGTATGTAGGTTCTAGCACTTTCAATACTTGATTAGGTGTTAATCTAAATTATGATAATGCTTAATGGTAATATTTGATATTAAATTAAAAGAAATATCATGAAAGGTTTTAGGGTCATTTTAGCTTTGTGTGAAAACATTCAAGTAATTTTATTCAGTGTTTGTGACATTTTCTCTATTTCAGAAACTCTCAGTGAATATATGCAGCTGCTTTTGGGAGGATTAGTTGGAACACCCCATATGATTAGTGCCTCTATCTTGTCTATCAGCAAAGTTCTCTATGAGTTCAAAGGTAGCTAAAAATGTACTGAAAGTGTTTAGTAAAAATGTAGCTTTTAAGCAATTTGTGTGAAGGTGCACATAAATATCTGTTATAAAAATGTAAAGACAATAGGAGAACTGGCTAAATATAAACTATGCTTAAGATACTTTCATAAGTAAAATTGAAGTGAAAATGATCACACATTAATATATATGTAGTATAATGAGCATGTTTTATAAGAATTGTAGTGTTATTAAAGTAGCATGTGTAATAGCTTTTTTCCCCCTTGCATAGATTTTTCTTCAAGTGCTAAAGACTGCTTCAGTCCTAGGATTTTGATTGTATATGGTTTTCCACTCATTTCCTTATGCAAATATGCTATGCTTATACTTAAGCTGGCCACTCTTGAAGAAGTTGTACAAAGTAAATGTTGAGCAAAAAAAAAAAAAATTTTTTTTTACTCGAGTTTATGATTATTCTCTTTACTATGAAATGTGTCATAAGATATTCCATTTAGCACATAGTAATATAATTCAATAAATCATTAAAAGGATATTTGTGAGCTCTTCCAAAAATAATAAAATCATAAGTATTTAAGAGCACACTTTTTTCTGTACATAAACATTGTATTAACTCTCCGAACACGGGGTCGGTCAATTTGCTGAGTCACGTGACCTTTTGCACTCGTTTAAAGTTGATATAAATTTAATACAACTCTATATATTGGGTATATCTTCATGAAATTTGGCAGTCTTTCAGTTAATATTACAAGTCTTTCACATACAAAAAGTCATATTTCTTAATGAAGTATTTTTAATAAAATAAAACAAAGATTTGTGTTTTGTCCATGAATATGTTGAGTATTTGTTTTGAATAGTCCGTGTGCAAAGTAATTTTCATGTTAAAATTAAAAATACTTCTCGTCATCTCAAA